CGTACTTTGTCAGAGCTCTCCATGTCAATACTATTTTAACACCAGGTCTTGTTCTACTCGTACTTTGTCAGCGCTCTCCATGTCAATCCTATTTTAACACCAGGTCTTGTTCTACTCGTACTTTGTCAAGGCTCTCCGTGTCAATCCTATTTTACCACAAGGCCTTGTTCTACTCGTACTTTGTCAAGGCTCTCCATGTCAATCCTATTTTAACACAAGGCCTTGTTCTACTCGTACTTTGTCAAGGCTCTCCATGCCAATCCTATTTTAACACAAGGCCTTGTTCTACTCGTACTTTGTCAAGGCGCTCCATGTCAATCCCATTTTAAAACCAGGTCTTGTTCTACTCGTACTTTGTCAGGGCTCTCCATGTTAATCCTATTTTAACACCAGGTCTTGTTCTACTCGTACTTTGTCAAGGCTCTCCGGTACATCATTAACTCACCATGTCACATTAAAGGCACATATAGCTTTAACTGTATCAATAGGAATACATCAAGGAAATTACACGATATCCATGTCAATCCTATTTTAACACCAGATCGATATTTGCAACATTTTTAACATGCATGTTAGGTAAGTTAGGTGGGTTTGAAATTCACCCTTTTAACATGCTTTGTAACGCATTTTGGAGAACAGGTTCGAGGAACGGAATTGTGTTGCATAACACAATAAAAGTAAAGAACAACGTATTTCAATATCTCCGAGTTTTTATTGTTATAACTATTATTTTCAAAAAAGTTTGAACAGCTTTGTCTTGGAACAAGTCATGGCATGGTTGGTACAGGTATAAAACAGTACTACGATTATCTAAAGACTGCACAAAGGAAATTCAAGTATGAAGTATTATAATCAGATAGATATCAAACTTCATATAATAATGTGGTCAGTTTGTTCTTCACTTTTCATTTTTATATCACAACTCTCTATTTACAGGCTAATGTAGAACTCTTGAATCTGATAGAACCATTTACTTAAAGTCTGTGTCACAGAATAAAATAACAAGAGCACCGCGAGCGGAAGCATGATACTATACGCCCATCAGACCCTCGGAAGGGTATTGATATATTGGAAGCAGGTAGTGACATATGATATAAATGTGTTTACTGTCACCGTGTTGTTGGTGAATGTGCTGTATTTATGGCCGTAGCTATTTTGCGTTTCGGAATTACACATTCGTGGTCAATGTTGCTATTACTAAAACTAGAACGTTGGCGGCCATATTGGATTTCTGATCGACCCGAAAAATAACTGTCAGTAACATTCCCATGAAGTATCAATAAAATCCCTTTGACAGTATTTCAGCTTAAGTTGGAAATGTAAAATGTTAACGGATGTCGCACGACGACCGACAGAGACGGATAGCAATAGGTCACTTGAACTAAAGCTCAGGTGACCTAAAAATTGGAGAACATTTGTTTGAGTTATCGTGTAATTAAGTACAATGTAACTATGTCAAGTGTGATACGTCAAAACGCGGAAAGTTGAAACTCGACAAAAAATACCCGTAGTATATGTTGAACCTTAATTATTAGGTCACCTGAGCTTAAGTTCAAGTGACCTATTGCTACCCGTCTTCGTGCATCGTCGAGTGTCGTCCGTCGTAAACATTTTACATTTACAACGCAAGATAAAATACTGGCAAAGGGATTATATTGATACTTCATGGGAATGTTATTGACATCTCCCTGACCAAGATTTGTTATTTTTCGGGTCAATCAGAAATCCAATATGGCCACCACGGCCGCCATTTTGAAAAACTAGAGTCCAATGGGAACCTACATGTACATATCAAATTTGAGAAAGATCCTTCTGGTACTTCTTAAGAAATAACGATAACAAGAATTGTTTAAGGACGGACAACGAACGGCAGACGGACGGACCACGGAGGCAGGGTGATTTGAATAGCCCATCATCAGATGATGGTGAGCTAAAAAGAAAACAAAAACACACATCCACAAAAACAACATTTACTTGGGAAAAAAATGACAGTCCATACCATTGTCAATAATGCCTGGGCTATTCACCAACAGCCTCACTGTCGACGTTCCTCCACAAATCAGGAAACCGCCAGGGGCAGAAGTGGAAACGATCTTACTTAACATTCTGTAGTATACTCAAAATATTCCCAATATTGTATGGCTTCTATATATAACCACTGATAACCTGTATGGCCTCTATTTAAAACCACTGATAACCTGTATGGCTTCTATATATAACCACTGATAACATGTATGGCTTCTAGATATAACCACGGATAACCTGTATGGCTTCTTTTTATAACCACTGATAACCTGTTTCATCACAATAACCCTATCAGCTTATGAAGTTAGGTTTGCCCTGTGGTGAACATGTTGCCACAGTCTTGTTGATCAACAGGGATACACTTTTATCTATAATACATAATGTCTATAACAGGGCTTACATCTCCAGAATTGTCTTTTCTATCTAACATGCTGAAAAAATGAGTCAAAATGTATCCATACACAGTAAAAAGGACATTTAGTGAGCCTTTGGAAAAACCAAGAATTACACTAATTATAAACATTGTCGATAACTATAAGTAAGATAAGATGCAAGCAATTTCTGGTCTTATTGAGCTAGAAGCAGAAAAAACAATGTCTTAAAAATCATCCTTTGAACTATTTATAATAATATATATATAAAGGAAACATGTCAACATTGTTTTAGACTGTAACAGTTGTTTTTTTGTTCATTTTTTTTCTCTATAAATAAATTGTCTATGTTAGAAAACTTCATCATGTCAAGCAAATTCCCATGCAAGCTTTTAGTACCTAATGTAAAATGGCCTCCGAAGTCAGAAAAATTTCATTCAAGTTGATTATAACTCACAAGGTTGAACCACAAAAGCCAGTCTCAAGAGATGAAATTTGAAACATTCATATTTTCAAATCTGGGGCAAAAGGAAACAACCATGGATAATTTAATGAAAACTGGAGGTGAATATAAAAGATTAAAGTAAAAAGTAAATATTGACTAAGTGACAGAAAATTCTGTTTACAACCTATATGTTATAGGGATTAAACTGTGCAATGACAGCATAACGTTTCCTTAACATCTCAATTGGATTAAAAAACAAAGCAAGCTTCAAAGGCTATTCAGTTTCAACACACAAACAAAATTGTATTTATATATTTAGTGAAGCAAGTAATTGAGAGCCCCTGTTTTCCTAAAAAAATCATAAAGAGAATTTTATCATGATCCTGATTCAAATATAAAAAGAGACACATTAACTTCTAATTGGAAAATATTCCTTAATATCTACCAAATATATGACGATCCCATTTCTACCAGTTGTATTTATTTTTAGGTTATAGTCCCCCCCGATCGGGTTTGTGCTCCAAATTACCAGCTTCTTACATTAAAAGGTATATGCAGTACAAGCATTTTTCACAATTACTACTAAACTGATCTAATTCACCACAGTTAATAATAGCATTTTAATACAGTCTGATAATATGTGTATAATTTCATTTAATTCTATTTAATAAGAATAATAAGAAACAAGAGGCCCATGGGCCTTAACAGTCACCTGAGTCCTACAGTATTTAATTTTGTTGTTGAAATATGTACCAATTTGAGTACAAACTAGTTAAGTATAACGTTAACTTAAGTTTGTCAGGACCGTGAGCTGATCATTCCTAGACCGAGTTTCAGTTAAATCGGCCTATTAGAATTTGTTTTTAGTTTTGAAATAGTTTTTCAAAATGGCGGCCATGGCGGCCATATTGGATTTCTGATCGACCCGAAAAATAACAATACTTGGTCAGGACTATGAGTCGATCATTCCTACAAAGTTTTAGTTCAATCGGCCCAGTAGAACTTGACTTGAATTTTGAAATAGTTTTTCAAAATGGCGGCCGTGTCGTCCATATTGGATTTCTGATCGACCCGAATAATAACAACACTTTGTCAGGACCATAAGTCGATCATTCCTACAAAGTTTCAGTTCAATCGGCCCAGTAGAACTTGACTTTAAGTTTGAAAGAAACCCCCAAGTCTCGCTTCCACTTTGTATAGGCGAGACATGATAAAAATGTTCTTGTATTAACTTCACAATGCCCTTATTTGGCAATGAAATGAAAAGCATAGCTCTGCAATGAAACAAGGACAAGACCCTGCTGAATAGCATTTAAATATCACGATTTAAGAACTTATTCAATGCATTCAGGTATTGAAACATCCCAGCAAAAGTTTGACAAAATTTGAAAAATAACTGATTGAGTTATTGAGTAAACAAGCAAAGGTTAATAGCAAAAACGATGAACAGCGCTGCTATGTCAAGTGTGATAGGCCAAAACGTGAAAAGTTGATACTCGACAGAAAACCCTGTTATATATGTTGAACATTATTACCAACAAAATTTGTAAGGAATTGATTAAAAAATACATTTACTACACAATACCCTGATTTGGCAATAAAAGGGGCATTACTCCTACAAAAACGCACATAACCTTCTGAAATGCAAACTTGTATGAGCTATATTGGTATGCAATACCAGTATGTGTAATACCATAATATGACCCGTTGGACGACGGTCGAAAAAAATGTAAAAAAACCAAGAGGCCCAAGGGCCTTATATTAACGGTCATCCAAATTAATATTATTGGTACTCATATAGGTAGCTAAAATTCATTGTTGAGATTGTGATGTAGAAATCAACATGTAAACAAAGTGAAATATAATACTTACTTATCATGTCACCAAAAGGATAAGAACTTTAACAAGAGGCCCAGAGGGCCTGTATCACTCACCTGATTATTTAAGCAGTCATAGCAAAATGTTCCCATTAAATATTATACTGTACTACAAATATTTCACTCTCAAACTTTTTGGACCTTCTTCATTTCCCCCTGTGACCTTGTAAGTAGATCAAGGTCATTTTCCATCCCAAACTTTGATGGCTCTATCCCAAGAAGCTACCAGCCGAATCTAATGAATCCATTCCTTTTGGTTCTTCAGAACAAATCATTTGAAATGATAATGACCTATGTGACCTTTAAAGTATACGTAGGTTGAGGTCATTTTATTTTGCAAACCTTTGTGAGCTCGATCCCAAGAAGCCAGCAGCCAAATAATATGATTCTATGCCTTTCAACTATTCAGAAGAATTCGTTTTTATGTTTTTGACAAATTTGACCCCTGTGACCCTGAAAGTAGGTCAAGGTCATTTTCATTTGCAAAATTTGTCACGCTCAATCTAAAAAAGTTACCAGGCAAGTATTAAGATTCAGTTCCTCAGAAGAAGTCGCTTGAAGTGTTTGACATATTTGACAGCTGTAACCTTGAAATGGGTCAAAGTCATTTTCATTCTTTATCTTTGTCTGGATCTATCCCAGGATGCCACCAGCCAAATATGAAGATTCTACACTTTTTAGTTCTTCAGAAGAAGTCTTTTAAGGCAGTGGACATATTTGACCGCTGTGACCTTGAAAGTAAGTCAAGGTCATTTTCATTCTCAAACAGTTTTTTGAAGCCCTCGTTCGACTTCAGGATCACAACAATACAACTAGTCCTCTAACAAGTCTTTTGTGCTGTACAGGACCAAGCGTGCGAGCGCACCTATTGTTGCGTTCAGCCTCCGTACACTTGTGAAGTCATCATGTACTTTATAATATCGTATGTATAGATGCATGGCGTAGTTTTCCTTCCAGTCAAAATTTTCCTTATATATCATGTGTAAGTGATTTCCATTTGGTGTACAGAAGGTCATGTTTTCCACATGTATCCAGGAGGGATGCGCCTTGGCAATGTATGTTGGTAGGAACAGCGAAAATTCAAACTTTTTTTTATGAGCATAATAGTACTGCTGATTGAAAAGAGTTATCCAGTGGCGTATGAAGAGCGGGTCTCGTTCTGCTACAATGAGGCCATTCCAAAGATTGGACTTGTACTCCATACTCATGGAGACGGGGTAGTTCATCAGAGGATCCAGGGAACGGAGCAGGACAGTGTCGAGATCCAAGTATATACCACCGTGTTCTAAAAAAGAAACAAACAAGTAAGTTTGTGGAGTTATATTCCCCGCATTCAGGGCATGTATCAGATGTCATTTATTGCTACCTCATTAATTGTGTGTAAATATGCACAGAACAATTTCACTTGAGACGACAGCCTGCGACATGTCAACATGTGTATGCATCAGGAATTTCGTTGAAATCAACACACTTGTAGGGCAGTTTTGCACGGAAACTAATTAGCCAATCACAAGTGCGTACCCTCAATAAGTATGCATACATACGAACGTGTTGCAGTCACAATCAATCTCGGCCCCAGAAACTAATTCGAAAATCACAAGTTTGTTACCTCATTAAGTAAGAGCTTTTTCTTGTCGTATTTGTTGGATTCATATTCTTATCACTACTAAATGCATTTTGTTGAAGAAATTTTCAACTTTAATTATCAAAACATACAGTAACATACTCAACTAAGGACCCAGTGTTACCTTATGTAACGTATCAAATCTGAGAAACAATCTTGTCATGCAGTTCTTACAAATAGCAATAACAAACTTAAACTGTCAAATCCAAGATTGGCTTTCTTGCAGACATCATGCTTTTCTAATTTCAAAATGCAACATGAACAAGTAAATGTAAATATATTGTCCATGTATCGTTTGAAATAAAAATATAATAACGCCCAGTTTGGATTTAGAAAAAACTCTCCTACTGTAGACGCCATTTTCGCTTTACAATCTTTAATTAATCGAATGAATCGAACTTTAAAAAAGAACAAGAGGCCCAAGAGGGCCTGTATCGCTCACCTGAATATTTAAGCAGTCATAGCAAAATATTCTCATTAAATATTATATTGCACTAAAAATATTTCCCTCGCAAACTTTGTTGGCTCCATCTGTTGAAACTACCAGCAAAATATTATTATAAGATTCTATGCTTTTTGATTCTTCTTCAGAAGTTGCTT